GCCGGAAAGCTATGATACCAAAGAGCATTCCCCTATCAATTAATCTCTTGCCAATGTACGGTAAATGAAGGCAGCATTTGGACAATGCAAACAGTGCAAGTACCAAGAAATTTTCAAGCCCTTGGCTAATTATTGGGCCACATATCTTCCTTTTGCTTTGTCCATGGATGGCGGAGGCAACAATTGTTATCTCAATACCAACCTGTAATTTCAATTAGATCTTGTGAGAATCTGCAATAGCTCTGATAATTTAGAGTCCATTCCTTATCTGCAATATTGCCAACTTGATGTGTAGTCCTTGAGTTTTGAGACTACATTAATCAACATAAGCAGTTCATAGTTACTGATACGGTCTCATAGTCTCTGGGTTTTGGGTTTGTTTTTTGTTAATTGATGGTGTGTTGAATTTGGCACGTGGGTTATGCCTTTTGGTTAGAAATTGTTGACAAAGATGGTAAATCTTTGATTCAGTGCTCACTGTTTATGAGGGTTTCTGCAACTTGAAACAGGAATTCTCAGTAAAACCATGGAGCAAAAACAAAAAAAAAAAAAAAAAAAAGAATTTAACTATTGCTAAGTGATAGCATTGTTGACATATTACAACCACATCTTGGCCTTTGTGTAAAATCACGAGAAAGTAATAAAGGAATTCCGAGGGATCAAAGGGGCCCCGACCATGTGCGTTTTGCATCATCACATAGGCAATTTGCATTCAAATTCCATTCATTTTGTAGCTTCCAAAGTTGGCAAGCCGCAACCCTGGCGTCTAGAATAATCTCTACACCACGCACTTAATTATTTTTAAGTTAATTTTCAAAAAATAACATTTCAATAAAGTTACCATCTCTTTCTCCGGGTCGGCCTAAACTAGGGGATTTAATTGTTTATTGATTTTTCAATAATTCTGCCCTTTAAGTAAATACTATGTTAAATACACTTCTCATCTGCTTCAAAAAACAAAAAAGACATGTATAACAAGTTACCTGGGGTTGAAAATGGATTGGTCGAATTCTGATAATTGCTGTTTAGATCTTCGGATTGGATTGGATAATAGGATCCGATCAGAAATTGGATTGGATTTGAATCATCTCCTATCTAATTCGATCTTTATTATATATTTATAAATATAAATATATATATACATATATATATATATATGTATATATATAATACATATACATGTTATTTATTTATTTATAAATATATTTTTATATTATGTTTTTATAAATTGCTCTATTATTTATTTATTATAAAAATAAAAATAAATAAATAATATTTTTATTTTTTGTTTTTATTTTATTTAAATTAGTATATTTTATTTTTTAATAATTTATTAAATTGTAAAGAAAACAAGTCGAATCGGATTAGATTCGAAGATCTGACTTACTGATAAGATTCAATTTCAAATCGAGTCCTATCAAATCTGATCGGATCAGATCTAACATGAACAGTGTTGGATCAGATTTGAATATACACTGATTCGAATCCGATCCGATCTGTTTGCATCTCTAAAAGTTACCTAACCAATAGGGAATAAGCTAGTGATACATACACATATGGTATGACCTCAAGCAAGGTTTTAAGTATCGATATACTAGTGTTTAGAAAACTGGACCAACCGACTGATTGAACCGTGACTTGGAGTCCTGACTGGTTCGATCATACCCCAATAACCAGCTGACCGGCCGGTTGAACCGAAAAACTATTGAACTAGTTTCATGAAATCACTCGAGTCCATACAAAGTAAAATTTTAAAATATTGTTAACAAGATTTGAATCCAAGACCTCTTATTTTCAGAAATTACTTAATTACCACTAATCCACCTATTTACTTGTGCTAATTAATGACTATTTATTATACATATTACATTATTATGCACGTATTTTAAAGAAAATGTAAGTCAAAGGCTTGGACCCTAGTCATTTGTTTTAAAAATTAAGAAACTTACCATCCATCCACCATATTTAAGTACATTATAAATTGTAAAATATATTATATATTGTATTTATATGACGCGTAGTATGTATATGTATATGCCACATCATCACGGTTCGACCTCCGGTTTGACCCAATCGAACCTCTAACCATGAACCTCTCCCTTCTCCGGTTCTATGACCGATCCGATTTTTTGAACATTGATCAATACACCCAATACGAACGAACATGTGTATCAAGTGTTTTGGTAGAACAAAAAATTATTATTTTATTATTTACTCTCAAAATTTCTCATAGAGCGAGTTTTAGCAACATTATTTAACACTTAAGTCTAGTTTGGAAGGAGTGCAAATATAAATATGTACAGTACAAATCTATACAAAATATAAGGTTTTGTGCTCTACATATTTGTATCTATTCTCCTTTCAAATGGAGCCTTAGAAACATTGCTTATTTATTTATTTTTTTAAAAACCCATTAAAAATGGTATATCTTAAACCTACAATTCGATTTGTATCTAAATTTTGAAGCTTACCCCAAGTGTATAGATCACTGGCATGTTCACCCTTAATTGGTTAGGTAGCCCATTGTAAATGCCTTTGTAATAGATTGTAGTCCTTAATAACATCTCCATATTAATTAACATAATAATTGATTCTATAGAACCCAAAATAAATACAACCCATTAAGTACTCTCTCTCTCTCTCTATATATATATCAGTTATAATATTTTCTTTTTCATTTCTAATATATTTATATATTTCAAAACTCGCCCAACTTTTTCCACAATTTCATGATGGATATTATTTTTCAGTATATATAGAGAGAGGCCCTCCATGTGCATTTCACGTGGGACTTTGCTAGTTACATTAAAAATCTGAAGAAAAGATTAAAGCTGCTAGCTTTTTACATATTTCCCCCACTAACCGCTTTTTGAAAGAACAAGTGACACAAATTTCTGACCTACTATTGATCCCTCCTTCCATCCAAACTCCAAAGAAAGATTAAAAAGAAGAGAACACGGTGGTGGTGGGGCATCAGCCTTAGCCGATGCAGGAACTAATATTACATCATCCTACATGTAGCTTCCACTTTGCATCGGCGCCTCTCTTCCAATTGCAGCTTTAGAACCATGCACACCCTCTTATTACATCCCTTCTTTCTTTCAATTATTGGGAAATGGTACTTCCTTGGATTAGGACGACCACAATCATAATCTTTTCCTTTTATTTGTTTAGCGGCGCCGAGCAAACGGGTGAGAGATGAACCCGGTTTGGTCCTATAAATATGTTGGGCCGGGCCGGGCCGGATCATTTTAAATTCCGGTGAATCGGTGACAGCACTTAAAGAAGTTATCATCGTGGGCTCTTTTGCATATGGAGGACATAAAAAGCGGAGTTTGGTTGGGTAGGAAAAATGTCTAATCAGAATTTAGAAGGCGGAACACGCAAGTAAAATTCTTGGACGTGGTGGAGGAGGACAAAGGGAGGTAGATCAAGAATGGCAAGCTAGTTATAGAAAGGCAATTATATATATTTTTTGGTATTCGGTGCTTTGCACCATTAATATAAGTAGACTGCATAGAAAAAGGCAATTAAAAATGGATAACTCTAATCTGTTTTGAGAGTTGTCTTCATCATAATCCTTCCTAATATAGGTATCCTAATTGGCCATTCCATTTTAAGTCATGTAATCTTTCTGGTGATTCTCAAATCATCTTAATAAATTACTTTTTGAGATCACCTTAAAGGCTTTATCCTTTTGTAGATTAAAAAAAAGTTAATTTAGATAAAAATGCCAATAGATCAATTTTAGGTTGGACCTCATCCAAATCAAAATCAATTTGAACGGATTCAAAATGATTTAAATTATTTATTGGATTAGATTGGACCTGATCCATTTGTAATGAACTCATGAGATTGGACTCAATCTAATCCAATTAACACCCCTAAATAGGGGATTACTTTCCATAGAATTAATTATGATTAGGCACGTCAAACCCTAAACCCAACCTGAAACAATATTAACTCCAACACGACCTGATCTGACTAAATGAAGAGGCACTACCGAACCCGCTCGGCCCTGCATCATGTATAACATACCTATATCTGATTGATAATAATGTATAATAATATTTAAGGCTTTAATGTCAACAGGTCGGTTCTCTAACCCGAAACCCAATTAAGACGAACCCAACCCTGACTCAATATGGTCTGGTCAGTGCGGATTTACCACCTAACCCAATCCACTGACATCCCTAATTATGATTCATCAGAAATAATTACCAACTGGGGCATGTTTAAGAGAAATATAATTTATTTTTTCCATGGGGCTACACGATGGGGTAGCGCCCATCCCTTTACCCATAACCCCTTAACTCCATGACAGACTTTGATTCTAAGTCTTCACTACAACTAGTCAGACACCTTACCAACTGAGCCAGTTGGCGCTGTCTAAAAATATATAAAGTGAATGAAAATTTCTGACTAAATTCCTAATTTAAAACCTTAACCTTTCTTAGAGGAACCTGATTGATAACATGAGAGCAAGAAAAAAAAAACTATTTTGTCAGGCAACAATAAAAAAACAAAAAAAAACTCTATAACAAATTTCATGTGGAAACATTGAATCCGCTAGTAAGTAAGCACTGTAACTTTGTATCCCCATCTGATAGATTGGTTCTTGTTCTACAGTTGTTTGCTGTAGTTCTCACCTCTTTTTTCATATATAAGCCGCTGTAGTTCTCACTTGGGGTGTCTTATTTCCTCCTATGGAGTCATAAATGCAAATTATAAGACCTATTCTTCTTATGCACAACAAATGGTTCCCTTGGATTTTGGGTGGAATTTGAATTAATCCGTATCGATTATCAGAGATTACTAGAGTTTTGGGAATACAAATTACTTTGTAGGAGCTTGGTCTTAGTGAATTGCGAGATAGGATGGCGTGTCAAGTGAGTGATCCCACCTTCTGGCTCCCGTAGACGAAAATGCCCTTTTAACATGGAGAGGCGTTTCGCTTTCCCTCGCTCTTAAAAAGCGTGCCAGTTGAACTGATCCAATGGTCTGTTAATTAAGGGAAGGGTATATTAGTAATTCTCTAATTGAACTCCCTAAACCTATGGAGACAATTGATTACTATACATGAACATGCATATAATACAAAGTGTAATCAATCACGATAAAACCAAGCCCCCAAAAGTCCAAGCTGCTCTCCTTCTCTCACTGTCTCCAACAACCAAAACACGTGCTTATATCCTTAATTAATCCGCATTAACTGAATCTGACACTCGCCGGAAAAAAATCGGAATTATCGTTCGGAGCTCCGAAGGGAGAGATGTCGATCTCGATCAGGTTGTCCTCTTCGAAGTGAAAACTTGGACTTCTCTTGCCATCCAGGGGTATCTCGATCAATTCTTCTCTGTCCTCTTCATCCCATCTGAAACACATATTTTCGGGAGAATCCCACCCTTCTATCTCTGGAAATTCTCCGTCGGACGAGCTATCTGTGTCGGTTTCCGGGAAGCAAAGCGACAATGACAACATTCTTTCGATACCCACTCGAGGGGTCTCCTGCTTTTCATTTGAATCGTCCTCCTTTTCTCCTTCGTACTCTTCGTATATGACTTCTAATGGCGCCTTCAGGTTCCATTCCACGAACGAGGTGGAGAAAACCGGATAAGGAACGAAAGAGAGTCCGGTTTCGGGCTCTACGTTGGTTTCGCATGCGACCCAATTGTCATCTTCGACTGTTGAATCGATTTCATCAGGTTCCGTCGAAACAGTGTTCTCTTTTTCAACCGTAGACGTAGAATTGGTGTTCCCTTGTTCATTCCGTTGAATTGCTCCTAGTCGAAGCAGGGTTGACAACAGAACTGCAGTGGAGATCAAAACGGGAGAGAAAACGAGATCGAGGAAAATTCTCGGGAAATAGAGGAGTATTAGACTGTAAAGAGCGACGAAAATTGAGAACAGAGGATCCGAAGCGAGAGAAGAAAACAATGACAGTGTTTCTTCAAAGAACCCAATGGCTTCGATCAAAATCTTCGTGGAAAAGGAGCTCATTTTGAATAGTTTCTTCTCCATGAAGAGATAGATCAAACAATTGGGGGAATTCTTTAAACGAAATCCGGGTCGCAAGCAGAGCACATTAAGAAGAGAGCCGAGCGAGAGCGAAGCTTGAGGAAAAAGGAGCAGAGAAATTGACTTTTCAAAAGTAGAGAGGAGAGAAAAGAGCAAAGCTAGTAGTAGAAGTAGTAGGTCTGCCGCTTTGAACTTTTGAAGAATTTTGGTCACCGGGAGTGTGGAAGAGCAAAGGCATGGAATATGTAAGAAAAACCGAAAAAGAGAGCAGTGGACCTAGTGGTGGTGTATGAATTTTCTGATAGTAAAATGCCCATGTTTTTACTATATATTTATCGGAGATGTCCTCAAACGCAAATCTGACTTAGGTCCATCTCAGATTTGGCCAACATTTTTTGGTTGGGTTGGGCCAGTTTCTATGGGGATACTCAACTACTCAATGACTCCATGTCGCATTTACAATAAGAAATTAAGAACAGGTGGTAATTTGGTAATAAAGGCCCAAAAAGGGGGCACTGGTAAAGTATGATTAGTGGGGGTTGGTTTTTTTGATCGATAAAAGATTGAATATTTTATAACAAAAGGTGGGTTCTGTTTGCAGGGCGTTATCATCTTCGCTGGAATCTTGAATTCATGGTTTTCAAAACCGGATCGGACCAGACGGTCAGACCAGAAAAACCGGAAATCGATTATCTGACCAGTTCCGTTTTTTCTCAAAATCACTTTTTTTCCTTAAAACTGTTGATTTTGGTCAGCAAATCGTTGAATTGGTCGGTTCAATTTTTTTAATTTTTTTATCAGAACGGACTGACCGTTACCGTTCAGGTTGAATGATCGGACCATTTGAACTGATAACCAGACCCCTGACCGGTTCGGTTTTAAAAACCATGCTTGAACTTGTTGTTACATTTTCCGGTCTAGACCGGTCACTTGCGGTTGAATTTGATTTGGTAAAGTTATTTGCATGTAAGATGCAGCTTTTTTTTTTTTTTAAGGCTATTTTGTTTCTCGGTGTAAATTGAAACCAGATGTAAAATTTTTATACGGTTTACCTTTGCATGTGTTTGTTTATAATTATGATTTGTATCCTTTTCTGTTACAAATTTTGCATTATTTTGTCTTATTTGTATTTATTGGTAATACAAATTTTGCATCCCAAAAACTGAAATAAAAATTCTTTTTTATCTTTATTATTCTCTCATTCTTTTATATCAAGTAGATTAGATAGTGGGGACTATAGCATTTTATTTCCCACTTTATTCCTCAAAAACAATCTTCCTCTGATCAGTTGGCTTTCTCTCACATAAAGTAAAGACAATATGATCTTGCCTCCAATTTTATTCTTCCAAACACATAAAGCAAAATAGAATCTAAAACAAAAATAAAGCCAGAATTTACGCTTTGTCCAATTGCACTGCAAACAAACAGAACCTAAATATAGGATTGACAGACATTGCTCACAAGATGCTGCAGCTGTTATTGTATCTTATAGGTAGTAGATCCGATCTTTACCTAATAACACCTCAATTTCACTACCAACAGATAAAATGAAACCTTTCAAATGGATTTACATACAATCTATACTTACAAGACATTAATTAGAAACATTTCCTTATACTGTGGGTATGGGTGTGTTGACAATTTACATAATGATAAAGGAGATATTCCCAGCCGTACATCTGGGAAGGAGATCCGAGCTCATTTACTGTCCTTTCCCTCACCCCACAATTTTTGGTATCTTTCCTTTACCATTTATGCTCTCCACTTCCTTTGGTCTAATTTGACTTGTGAAAATACAGTTTGCCTATAACTTGGGGAGTCTGATTTTGGAATATGGATTCCTCTCATGAAATCTGAAGAGAGAGAGAGAGTTGACGTTCTTAATAATTGAGCTAGGGGCAATGGCCTCTTAAGCTGCATTTGGCATTCTTTATTTTAGAGACAACTGCAAAAAGAAAATAAGTTCTTAAAATAAGGAATGCCAAATGCAGCCTTAGTCAGGTCTTAAATGAGCCTCCAAGTTCCTCTCTTAAGGCTCAGTTTGGAAGAAGTAAAAATGCAAATATATAGAATGCAAACCCTTGCATCAATACATTCCCATATTTTTAACCTTGGTTCCTTCTATATATGCAAATTCAACCAAATTTGATAAATTAAAATTAAAAAAATTGATTGGTCAATTTAAATTCAAACTCAAAACTCCCATAGGAATATGTGGATTTCTACAGGAAAACTCACTACTTGACATACGAATGAATCCCTTTTATTATAAACAAAATTAGGATTTAGGGTTTGTTAAGAGTCCATGATCCAACTTCCAAATGTCAGGCTACTGAGATCACCATGAAAAGCTAAAAGTGCTTTCTTTTTTCTTTTTTTTTTTTTTTGGGGGGGGGGGGGAGGGTGTTCTAGAACATTTTAATTCCAAAAACACCAATACTTTTCAACTTTCCCACTTTCACCTATAAGAGATCAATTTGGGAGATGGGATCTTGGTTAGCATGGATCCATTCCTTGGTTGAAAAGGTGAAACCATGGGCATGGACCCAGACTGATGTATAAGGCGCATGTGAAATACTGCTGGCATGGCAAGACTTTGTAGTTTTAACTTTTCTGAGTCCTTTCGACTTGTGCTAACCCCTTATTTCGTAGAAATAAAGGGTTTTAACCTTTAGGAACATTGATAGAAGGTCCATTTGGTATACTTTTTTTTTTTTTCTTTTTGATGGGTCGGGTGGCTCTGGCGCCATGACTAAGGGGACCGGCTGTATGTTATTGCAGGACCCAACGATGGTTGGCTACTAATCAAGATGATACAACAACAACCCTTACACACTAAGCATTCAGCCAGCAGTGAGAGATTCATGAAACCAAGAACTGTTCACACGGGATTGGAGGTTCTTCCACAGGTCACAAGCCACAGTAGCGACCCATTGTTAATTTGTTAGGGTGCATTGGCTTAAAGTCAAGGCCAGAGGTAGTCCATTAAGATTTGGAATCAAGGGCATCTGGAATCTAGATGTCACCTCAGACCTTACCCCATCAAACTCTGATAATTATTATGGTTGTAGCTATAAGTAATTTTGATAAAGATTTGTCTTTTAAATCGATAGATGGTGGTTTGGTCTTGACTACTTATGATCGGTTGGTAAGCTCCTGTATTGTCTGTCGTTGGCATGCATGATCCTGGTCCTGGTTTGGAACTTGGAATTAAAGCTGTTGGATCACCTGCACGCACTCATCACACTAAATAAAAAGGAAACTGTATAATACACCCTAATTATATATATATGAACTATCCATCTCGTATATATCGATTTACCTTTACCACATATGAAAGGCACACAGTACTCTGATGAGTGATGCATGCCAACACCCTGATGGCCTGATCTATCTATAAACATATAGACGCATTGGCATCACTGAGTGGATGAATGGGCATAGATGTCGGAGATGTTATCGACACTAATTTCTAATGCACATGCCCCATATTTATCTGTAAACTGTAAAGGCAACCACGTACCCATAAAAGAGAAGTGAAAGAAACGGATCAATGGAGTGGAGGATGCTTTTCTGGGCATCTCAGTCTTAGTTTGTTGGTTTGGTTTGACATGGGCGATGGAGGGAGGAGAAGATATATATATTTTCCTCTCGCCCAGAATATTAAAATTACAGCTGGTTATTGGGTCTACCACTAGCACTAGGTCCTCTAATCTCTTGAGAGGATGAAAAGGAAAAGCAATAATATATAGACAGAGAAATTGAATGGGGTGGATGGATATATATCCATGAATTTCAACCTAGCTAGCTGCTATCAGCTTTGGGTTATATATACATCAATGTTTGGTCCTGAACTCCTGATAGGATATGGTGGCATGGGCTTTTGTTCAATTGCTTCCCCTCTCCTCTTTGACTATTTTTTCATTTGTGTTTGTTCTTCTGTCTGAATGTAGTTCCAATTGACACCACTCCATTGAACTTGGTGCAGCTAGCGCCCGGGCAATGCCACATTTGAACCTACATTAATCATAATGCGCGCTTCTGAGAATTCAACCAAACACTATGCTTTCTCACAAGGAAGAAGCCAAGAAGCCAAGATCAGGATTCAGGAATAAGGTCCCTCCAGCCACCAGTTGTGCCCCCCCACCCACCTTAATTTGTTCCCTTGCATCTCTGTATGTGGGCTTCAGCTGCCTTCACTACTACTTTCCCATTTCTCTCTGCTAGCTACGTTAGATTGTCGACTACTTTCTATCTGTCTTTGCTCCATGGATACCACCAAAGGTCAACTTTATCATTTGTTTGGTTGTAAACCAGGCGCAAGCAGTATACATCATAGGTATCTATGGAAATCCAACGGACGTGCAAGTGCCACGTTCAACCGATTTCGTATATGTGGATCAAAACAAATAAGGGCTCTAGCTTGTAGTTGTTGGTTTCCAACAAACATTTGAAGATGCAAAATTAAGGGCACAGTAGTATACTCTGTTAGATAGAATCTATCTATCAGTCCATTTACCTGAACCCTGAACCCTGAACCCCACCACCAAGTATCATTTCTCTGAAGGTCTCTGCTAAAAACAAGATGCATGTAACCACGCTAGAAACACCAATCATCAGATTTCAGAAGTAACCATGTCAGTGTCCCGTATTGTTACCACATGTACCATCAACTGAGGTGTATACTCAATTTCATGATTGGGTTTTGGATTAAGATTCAGAAAATTTGGCCGATGATGAGGTTGGGTTGGAGGTGGGGTTAGGGCTTGAGAGGGGGGCTAGGGTATATTGACCCAAATCCAATTACCGAACCCGCCCGAGAGTTGCAACCCAATAAGATAATACTCAACTAGTCTACATATGTTTTAGATTCATAACATATGAGAAAACTTTTTGGTTATGAAAGTATATGTTGACCGGGTTTGATTATCAACTCGAATAAGGGGTCTGAGAGAAGAGATCGAAAGATCTGTGTTTTTGTTATAGTCCATGACCTGAGATTTCTTTTGACATGAAATTCTGGCAATTTCACTTAGAGCTTCAAAAAGTTAGAACCATGTTAAGTTATTGACCTGACTTAAGGAATTATTTTACGTAGGATTAATTTGGAAAGAGTATAAATATAAATATATACAAAATAATGTAAAATACATGATTTATAAATATAAATATGTACAATGCAAATACATATAAAATAATACAAAATACAAGAATTTACACTCTAGATATTTGTATTTATACTCCATCCAAACTGAGCCTTAAGGACCAATCATATGCTACTTCCCTCATTTTATAAT